GCTAGGTTCTGGGTAGAGTTGAGGCCTTTCAAGGAACAGTAGCTTTTCCCTGGGGCTATTTTGTGAAAAAAAAACTCACAGCACCCACTCTGGAGCCATTCTCAGGGTTTCTGTTTTTCAATTGATCGTGGTGGCTGCTAGAGGGCGGGGCAGCCTCTGGCTCTGGTTACCCGGTGAGGAGAGCCACTCCAATGGCTGGCGCCTGAGCTGGGTGACTTTTCCCTGGATGGAACTGAGTCTGTGAGGTCACTTCGCCGTTAAGTTCTTGTGACCTGCTAAATGACTAGTTTTATTCCAAGGCCTGAGCTGGAGCTAGCCGCTCCTCCGAGCTTTGTCGGTATCCAAGATGGAGATCACCGGTGCTGGGGGGGGGAGGGGTGGCCTTCCCTCCTCTGCTCCCAGAGAAGGAGTGAGGAAGTGGGGCTTCTACTCACACGGAGTCTTGGATCCCGGGTCGTCTCTGGTCTGCAAAGTGCAGGATGAAGTTGTCCGCTCCTTGTCGGTTCTTGCTGGTGTTGAGTAGAATCCGCTCGCCCTGTGTCTCAGGTATGCCTCCGCCGCGGTGGTTGCCGCTGTGACCCTGCCGCCGCAGCGGCAGCTGCTCAGATGTGTCTGCTTGGCTTCCCCTCTCTTGACTAACTCTCTGTCCTGTGACGGCACACTTGGTGTGATTCTCTGGCTTGGGACTGTTCACTGGAACTCTGAAACTGTTTTCTATGCAAGAGCTTGTTCAGAATCCAGCTTCTCCTCCGCCATCTTCCCGGAACTCCTTACAATGTTTTTTAAACATTAAGAAAGACATACAGTTAAACTCCATCATTATAAAATATTTAGAAAGATTAAAGGCACATCATTCTTTTTTAAATTTAATTTAATTTTGTTGTCAAGGTGATGTACAGAGGGGTTACAGTTACATGAGTAAGGTAATGAGTATATTTCTTGTTGAACATTGTTGCCCCTTCCCTCACTTTTCTCCCACTTTCCTTCTCCCATAACTCTCCGGCACCCCAGGTTGTAAAGTTCATTTCCAACATAGTATCTTGTTATTTTGTTATTACTTTTCCCTTCCTCAAATCAAATAAAGGTATATACAAGACACAGGGTACCAGAATAAAAAACAGTGACAACAGGGGATTAACCAAAGCGAGGGACAATGAAAGTAAAAAGAAATAACATCACACAGTACATTAAAAACAACAATGACAACAACAACAGCAAAATCCTCTTGTTTCCATATCTTGGAGTTCATTTCAGTTGGCATCATTTTATATGGTGATAAGCTACATCATTCTTATAAGCCAATCTTTTATAATTCAAGAATTGAATTATAAAAGTTCTGAATAATGTCTTCATTTTAATCTGATCTCCACTAATACTGGATCAGAATATTCTTCAGTTGGAGAACATAATAAGGATAGATTTTGGACCCAGCAGATAGAAGTTCAAATTGCATCTCTTCCAATTTCTAATGCATGGCCTTGGATGATTTGTGTTAATTATCCTAATAGTTTATGTGCAAAGGTCAAACTTGGCTCATTATGCAGATAAAGTAAAATGACATAGAAGTATATATATTTGAAATATTTTGCACTTAGTAGATACTAAACTAATGTAAGCTAGTGGTATTTTATGGTGTCTCTTTTGGTAGTATTTTCAGATATAGTTTCTCTTTTTTATGATATAGTTTCTCATTTTTTGTAATATACCTTCTCTTTTTTTTCATGACCAGTGTCTGTTACTGTGTTCATGTCATAACAGATCCCGAAGTTCATTAAAATGGACGGGTGTATCTCCATGAATAGTAATAGTAGCGCACTGAGGTGCTGTGTGTGCCACACACTGTGCCAGCACTCACCACATTCAGTCTACACCTTAGCCTTATGAGGAAATTTGTCCACTTTGCAGGTAATGACCTTCAGGGTAGGGAGGTTACACCACACTATTCGTCAGTACTCAAGGCTATTCTCTTGTTTGTTTGTTTTTTCCTGCCTTTTTAAATTTTTTTTTTATTGTGAAAATACTGTGCAGAGGGGTTAAATTACTTGAGCAAGGTACTAAGTACATTTCTTTTTTTTTTCTGGAAATAAATTTATTTTTTTATGGTGAAAATACTGTACAGAGGGGTTACAATTAAATTGGCAAGATAATGAGTACATTTCTTATCAAGCATCGTTGCCTCCTCCTTTGTTTTTCCCCTGCCATCCCTGCCCTCCCATCTCCATGAATACATTCCCCTCCTCCCCCCATCCCCCCTTCTAAAGTTGTAAAGTTCATTTTTCAACATAGCATTTTGTACATCTCATTGTTGCAATGGGTCTACCTGTATCCCTATTTAAACAATTTGTTTTCCCCTTCCCCTCCACAAATTATGCCAACATCAAGTGAAAACAGGGGTTATACCGTGGGGGAGGGACATACAAAGCAACAAAACAATTACCTTATAAATACGTTAGAAACAATAGCAAGAAAGAATAAACCACTTGTGTCTTTATCTTGGGGTTCATTTCGCCTAACATCATCTTATCTGACCTTTTCCACTTGTCTCAGACATATACTAGTTATTGCAAATCAGGGAAACCATGGGACCTATGTTTCTTTGGGCCTGGCTTACTTCACTGAATATAATTTTTTCCAAGTCTTTCCATTTCCTAACAAATGGGGCAATGTCATTCTTTCTGATGGAGGCATAGAATTCCATTGTGTATATATACCACATTTTCTTGATCCATTCATCTACTGAGGGGCATCTGGGTTGGTTCCATATATCTTAGCTATGGTAAACAATGCTGCAATAAACATAGTTGTGCTGGTAGCTTTAGTGTGGTCTTGTTTGTGAACATTTGGGTAAATGCCCAAAAGTGGGATTGCTGGGTCCTACGGGAGCTCTATGTGGAGTCTTTTGAGGAATCCCCATACTACTTTCCAAAGTGGTTGAACAAGTTTATACTCCCACCAACAATGCAGTAGGGTTCTCGTCTGTCTATACCCCCCTCTAGCATCTATTTGTTATTAGAGTTCTTGATTATAACCATTCTAACTGGAGTGAGGTGGTATCTCAATGTTGTTTTGATTTGCAACTCCAAATAGATCAAAGACCTCAGAGTCAAAGCAGACACCCTGAAACATTACAGGAAGGAATAGGAGAAACCCTAGGTCTCCGTGGCACAAGCTGAAATTTTCTTAATAGAGACCCAGAGCCACAACAAATCAAAGAAAGGTTGGACAAATGGGATTGCATGAAGTTGCAGAGCTTCCGTATGGCAAAGGACATAGCTAACAAGATCAATAGAAAGCCCATGGATCGGGAGAAGATCTTCACTAGCCATACAATGGACAAGGGGCTCATATCTAAAATATACCTGAAACTCACAAAAAATTAAATCCCCCTACAACAAATCCTCAAAGAAACAACGGTCCAATAAACAAGTGGGCTAAAGACTTAAAGAAACTTCTCTGAAGAAGAAAGAAGGATGGCCACTAGACACATGAAGAAATGCTCAACTTCTCTAGCCATAAAAGAAATGCAAATCAAGGCTATTTACTGTTAAACAAAAAAAACACGAAACACATAAAATTGCATTCCTTATCTCAATCATGTCTCCAATCTTGAGCATTTTATCCTAGGTCAAGGGAAGTGTGAGATATATGAAAAGCAACATAATCAGACTGACTCATGGAGGTTTAAAAATATGCAGCAGAATAGTGGGCTTTGAAAGAGGAAGAAAACACTGAGAGTGAGGGTGACCAGAGAAAATTTTAGCGCAGTGGACCCGAGGAGAGTGGGATAGAAAAGTAGATGAAAGCAGGGTTGGATATCAGAATGTAACACTTTTGATATGGCATGGGGCATCCATTCATCAGGTGTCAGAATGGATGAACTAATGATTGTCTTAGAAAGAAAATCATGTGCAGACACATCAGGAGGTATGGATGTACTTGAAGACGGGAGTAAACATTTATCTATTAAAAAACAACCTAGAAATATATCCTGCAAAAATATCATATATTACAGGATACAAAGTAAGTGGAATGCTAAGAAACTTTATGTTTATAATTAGGAAGTCACTGACATTCTTTATTTTATTGTAAAGATGCTGTACAGAGGGGTTACAGTTACATGAGAAAGGCAGTGAGTATATTCCTTGTTGAGCATTGTTACCCCTTTCCCTTGTTGCTCTCCCATTATCCCTTCTCTCCCCCATCGCTTTTACTCCTCCCCCCCCCCATTCTGTTTGTTTTTTTTTTTTTTTTTTTTTGGTATAGCATTATTTTAGTAAGAAAGTTAAATTGGATGGCGAGAGGTTTTATAAATGTGTTGTTATAAAGGAAATCAGGGCAGCATATAACAATTTAATATAGAATTTATTATTCTGAAATATAAAGCACTGTTGCGTACAGTTGGGTTGAGTTTTTCTGTTCAAAATCACTGAAGAAGCAAAATGGTCTCATGATATTAAGTTAAAGAAAGATAAATGAGGCAAAGAATTAAGTTGCCATGTAATTATCAGCCTCTGTGAATACATTATATTGAAGAAGACCAAGGAAAACAAACACACCAAGGTTTCCTGCCATGTGAAATTCTGTGGCATCAACCTTCAGAGATTCTAATGAGAGTTGCACTTTATAATTGATTATTTTCATGTCTCTATACTTGAGCTATATTTGAGTATCAGCAAGGAAATAAACATAAGTAAACACTCAATACATAATGGTTAGACTCAGATGGGACTGGTACGAACCCTTTTATTTATTTTTTTATTGTTATTATAGAGATGATGTACGTAGGGGTTGCAGTTACAAAAGTCAGATGAAGAGTGCATTTCTTTTTGGACAATGTCACCCCTTCCCTTGCTCTCTCCCAGTTTTTCCCTCTTTTTTTCTTTTTCTTTTCTTTTATTAATACATAAGTTTAGTGACTAAGCTTTTAGATGCTATGGTGAATAACTTTATATTAGTTCATGTCAGAGGAAAATCTATAGTGATACCTTCTTCTTTTGTAGGTTTTTTCATCTGGTCCTGATATACATTGTGATCCACATCGCTGGTTAGCAGAAAGCAAGGTAATATTTATGATCTTCAGGACATCCTTTGTTGTTTTGCTGTATGTTTTTTCACCCAATTGAGCATACAAAGCTGAAATACCTTATTGGGGAAGATAACACTGAAGCACATTTGAGAAACTTGAATAGTTTTTTATTTTAATACTTAGAAGTTAGCTTAAGTATATTGATGTAGAATTAGAGTATGAAGGAATATAAATCTGTTGAAGCATAAAAACCTGGATTGTCTAAAAGACAAATGATTCCTTTTTCTTAAAAATGTTTTTTTTTTTTCTTGTGCTGGTACTGGGGCTTGAACTCATAGTCTTGGAGCTGTCAGGGTTTTGCACAAGGGCTATTCCTTGAGCCGCAGCTCTGCTTTCTGTGAAGATGGTTGACTGGAATCGCCTAGACTTTTCCTGTGATCCTCAGATCTCAGCCTCCTGAGGACCCAGGAATTTTTATATGTGTTTCGGATTTATCTGGAAATGTGCAAAAGTCAGGGAAGTTTCAGCTAACCTTCATTTTTCACTATATACTTACCATATTATGGTTCTTCAGGGTAAAGACCTGTCATCCCATATGACTCAGAAAAATTATGTCACCTCTTTCATAAAGTGCAACAGGTGCACTGTAGTGCCTACCTGTAATCCTAGCTACTTGGAAGGAAGACAGTGAGATGACCTCATTTCAAGCCAGCCAGCCACCTAGAAAAATTTATAAGACATCTTGTCAACTCATAGCTGGGCACACTGGCACATGTCTGTCATTCCAAGCTACCTTGGGAAGCTGAGAATGGGAAGGTGTGGTTCCAAGGTAAGCTGAGGCAGAAAAACCCCGGAGACTTCATCTGTACTTCCAAATGGACACAAGTGCCATGGCCCTATCATTCCAGCAACCACAGGAAGCCTAAAATGGGTGGATCAGAGCTCAGGAATGCTCTTGCCCAAAATGTGATCCCCTTTCTCAAAAATAATGAAAAATAGAACCAAGGCTCAAATGCTAGAGTGTCAGACTAGCAAGCACAAGCTCCTCAGTTTCACCAAAATAAACCAGCAAACCAACAATTCAACTAAAAGATAACTTCCTGATTCATGGGGCTTTGGCACTATGGCATCAGGTAAGCAAAAATAAACAAAGTGAAGTTTTCTAATTATAAACATTCTATTCTGCTATGGAATAGTTATCAGCTACCAAATGTAAGATAAACTTGGAAAGTTCATTGACTGCAATATATGGAATGTTATGACCAGTTTAGTTATTGTTACCTATTTATGTATTAACTTGTATGCACTAGCATTTCTTTTTAGACTGCTTTTACTCATGTTCAAAGCATGGGTATTGAAAATCTTATTTTTATTTATGTTCCATCAGAAATCTATCTTTACTATAAACTTCAGCAGTCTCATTTAGGATTTTATTATAGGAAGAACCTTAAGGTTTTTTCTATTTGCCTGTTTGTTTATTGATTTGGTGCTGAAGACTGAGTCCAGGGCTTACTGTATATTAAGTGTATGTCCTACCATAAGGGTAGAACTATTCCTCTCCCTCAATCCTTTTATTATTTATCTTATTTATGAGGTCTCAGAGAAGGAAAGGGAACTGTGTGGTGCTAGGTAAAGAATGCAAGACCAGATCATATGCCATTAACAATTAATGTCTTAACAATATGTGTATGTATATATATATCATGTACATATATGTTATTTATTTATTTTGCCATCTAAAAACTTGTTCATCCAGGATACATTGATTGTGTCAAATATTGTAGATTTGGGCGGGAAGGTGGCTCAGTGGTAGAGTACTTGCCTTGCATACATGAGGCCCTAGGTTCAATTCCTCAGTACCACATAAACAGAAAAAGCTGAAAGTGGTGCTGTGGCTCAAGTGGTAGAGTGCTAGCCTTGAGCTCAAGTGTTGAAGGACAGGGCCCAGGCCCAGAGTTCAAGCCTCATGACTGACAAACAAACAAACAAACAAACAAACAAAAATATTGTAGCATCAACAATTTGCAAGTTATGTACTTGGTATGTAGCATACAGAGAGGAAACTGAGATGTAAATAAACTTAAACATTCTGTGAAGTGTGGTATTATTACAGATGCATGTATACATTAGCAAAGGAACTTAGAAGACAAATAACTTGTCATGTTTGTGCTGGGAGAATGGAAAGGTGTGGTGCTATATGTATCTCATAGGAAATTGCTGGAAAAGTCTTCACTTAAATTTGGGCTTAGAAAATTGTAGAAGTTTTCCAGCTGAGTAAGTATAGATACAACATTGGCAGGAAAGTGAGACTCTGCGTAATCCTAGATAATGCACTGACGTTGAATCTGGTATGGGTGAGAAATGATGCAGATAGTTGTCACTTTCCACTGCCTATGTGTTAGACAAACTTATTTAAAGGCAAAAAAACCTATTCATGACAAGGAAACAAATGTATTGTGATTACACACTAGATTCTACCTTCTTCTGTGAAATTCCTTCTTCTACTTTTAAAACAGTGATCTTGTGCATTTCTAGATATATTTGATAGAAAAAATGCAAATTTGGTGTTTTGGCCACCTGCATAAGAAATTTTGTACTTCAGAATGTTTGGGCATGAAACTTCTATTAGGCATTTTTCTAACACTCCAATTCTGACAACAAGAGCAATATATTTGGAATTTGCTTTCAAGCTAAAATCTTTATCATTTCCAAACAGAAAGCTTTCAGTGCTGTAGTTGAGTTAAATTATGAGAGCCAGAGATGACTTTTAATCATAGCTCTTTAATTTGGAAGCTAGTGAGCAGTTTTCCCTTATCATTTAATGGGATTGAACTTGTGATCAGACCAGTTTTAATACTGCATGAGACAACTGTTCCCTCTACAGTATAAAGGGTTGTGATAAAAAATACCACGCTGACCAACTGACTAAGGAAGAATTTAATCTATTTACAAGAAAGATGGCCTAGGTTATTGATGGGCTACAATATTGCAATTCCCATGAACTATGATTGGACAGTGCTATAAGTATTGAAGATAAGATCTGAAATCAGAGGAGAAACTATATGGAGAGTAGAATTGCTATTCAGCTAGTCCATGCTGACATCTTGCCGTATTGGAAGGACCTTTGAGGGCATTTGGTAATTGTTTTCATAAATCTACTAAATGAATTTCTTCTCTTGGAGCTAATTCTAGGACAACTAGCTGAGTAGGTAGGGATTTTTTCACTGTCACTGTTGGCCATGGTGGCATACCATAAACATGAAGCCCAAGTGAGAGGTGAGCTAGACTCACAGATAGTAACCAAGGAAAGGTTAGGGTAAGACAGTACAGGAAGGAAGAACAGTCTGGTGGTTGTGAAGGGATGCCATGAGAGGACTAACCCACAGATTAGACATGTGCAGTTCTTGTAAATTCTAACAGCGCATGCAGAGGTCAGATTTTCTTCAGTTTAACAGAGACCTTATTGAGTTACTGTGACATCCTAGTTGTGGCATAAAAATGAATAACATGAAGCCGGGCGCTGGTGGCTCACGCCTGTAATCCTAGCTACTCAGGAGGCTGAGATCTGAGGATCGCGGTTCAAAGCCAGCCCGGGCAGGAGAGACCGTGAGACTCCTATCTCCAATAAACCACCAGAAAACCGGAAGTGGCGCTGTAGCTCAAGTGGTAGAGCGCTCGCCTTGAGCTGAAGAGCTGAGGGACAGCGCCCAGGCCCAGAGTTCAAGCCCCACAACTGACAAAAAAAAAAAAAAAAAAAGAATAACATGTTTCTGCCTCTGGAAGAGTCTGTGCTATTTTAGAAAATGTAGCCACCTACAATCCTATATGCATGAGCTGTGAAAGAAGTATGCTGAAGCTGAGGTATCACCTCAGCTACTCGGGTGAATCTGAAGCTCGGCAGGCTTTAAAAGGGAAAGAATATAGGTGCAGAGAAACTATTTTAGGATGAAAGAGAAGTAGTGTGATAAGTGCAAAAAAAAATGGTGAGACAGACATCACAGAGAAAGACATACCAGGCAGAGACTGGCATTAGGTTCTTCTAGAAGAACATTGCATATCATTTTCAGGCTCTTGGATTGAGAGCTGCATTAGAGAAGAATCACAAATGAGTTGTAGAAAAAGAATTGACATATTATTTAGAAGTATCACTATAACAGTTATATGGAAGGTAGATTAGTAGGGATTAGAATAAAGTCAGGAAGACTAGTGGGGGAGACTTTCCCTATAGTCTGGGTGATGGGAGAGGACTGTCTGAGGTAAGATTAATTGTTCACAGATTGAAAGGCAAAGAAACCCAGGAATAATGTCCTGGTGCAAACTTACCATTCATGATGGAGGATGATGGAGAAAGAGCTGCCCAGATTTTCATGCCAAACTAACAGACTTTAGGAAAGAATTGATATCTGAATAAATGGGCAGACAGAGTCCTAAATAGGAAAGCAAACAGAGGTATTGAAAGAGATTCCAGAATGGGAATTGTTATCCAGAAAGTTTTTTTTTTTAATAAATCACTTTTATTCTTTCATAATTTCTTTTTTTTTTGGTACTTTTTTTTATTGTGAAAATGCTGTACAGAGGGGTTATACAGGTTGAGCCATTGCAACAATGAGATGTACAAAACACTATGTTGAAAACCAACTTTACAACTTTGGCAGGGGGTGGGGGGGTTGGGTAATTGTGGAGGTGGGAGGGAAGGGATAGTAAGGGGAAAACAAAGGAGGAGGCAACTATGCTCAATAGGAAATGTACTCATTACCAGAAAGTTCTATTGGAACATTTAAGTCCAAAGAGAACTGAGGGCACAAGTACCCATCAGAGTTTAGGATCAAATCTTAGAAAGAAATGAGAAGAATTCAAAATGTTCACAGAAAGTCGACAGGGATGCTTTTTCATATCTAGAACAGACAGGCTATCACAGGATGGAGCCACATACTAGCAAGAATCACTGTTGCTCCCATAGCTTACCGTTTTGTGATAGCAATGAAAGGAAAGCTGCTGACATCTGCTCTTCTGCTAAAAGCAGGGTCCTGCATG